CCACAATTTCACGGCAGGCCCCCACATGGTTCGTTTTTCCGAGGAAAACTTGAACTTTTTGTCAGAGGCAGGGATTCCAATTATCACCAGCAGTGGCGGGGGGTCACAATAGCTTCTTAGTACATACAAACATGACATAATGAATGTTTCTTTTCTGATTCTTTGGCTGATTCTTAGAGACGATGCTGTTGCTGTCCAGGTTGGTTCACAAACTTCATGCACGGGTTGGTTTTGCTTTGTTGGTTAATAGGCAGCTAAACATATTTCATCACCAGAAACTGGACACAACTACTAGAAACGTCAATCCGGGGTGGAGGCGGTCGTTCATGCCTTTTGCACATCCTCAGGATTATAGCTTCTCCATGGTACAAAAGAACAAACCGGACTGTTCTCATGCCGTGGTATGTCAATGAATGGTGTTACCTGTACACGGCCTGGTAGACTATGATCAGGATCTGAAAGTACTCTTATGCCGCTTGGGTCGGAATGCAATAATAACAACAATATTGACACCTACGACCATAAAAATGCTTATAGTTGTTATTCGTATTAGAACAAGTGCTTCTGCGAAGGTCGCCGGCTGCTTCTGCGAACCAGGCTTGGCCCAGGGCCGGCAAAAGGAAGTGCTTCTGCGAACCCTTCGCGGGGAGCCCGCTCTTTAGACACATATAGTAACCTGCTTCGGCGAAGCTCTCAAAGGCACTTCTGCGGACCACCTCCCTGAAGCTAAGGGAGCATCTTCGGGAGACTAGCAGCTCTAGGCATGAGTTCTGCGAAGCTCTGCGGGGCAGAGATAGCTGTAAGCAGTAGTTCTGCGAAGCTCTGCGGGGCAGGGCCCTGAGAAGCAATAGCTGTAGGCAAGACTTCTGCGAAGCTCTGCGGGGCAGGGCCCTGAGAAGCAATAGCTGTAGGCAAGACTTCTGCGAAGCTCTGCGGGGCAGGGCCCTGAGAAGCAATAGCTGCAGGCAAGCTACTTCTGCGAAGCTCTGCGGGGCAGGCCCAGACAGGCATAGCTGCAGGCACGACTTCTGCGAAGCTCTGCGGGGCCGGGGCCCTGCGAAGCAATAGCTGTAGGTAGGCAAGACTTCTGCGAAGCTCTGCGGGGCCGGGGCCCTGCGAAGCAATAGTCTAGGCAAAAAGCTCTAAAGGGCAGGGCCCTGAGAAGCAATAGCTGTAGACAAAATTTCTGCGAAATTCTAAGGGCAGGGACCTGCGAAGCAATAGTTGTAGGCAAAACTTCTGCGAAACTCTAGGGGGCAGGGCCCTGAAAAGCAATAGCTCTACGCCAAACTTCTCCGAAGCTCTAGAGTGCAGGTCCCGCAGAGGCAAGGCAAGAATTAAATAGCTTCGGTCTGGTGTCATACTTTAGCCAAAAGAAAAGGCATCTCACGGTGCCATAGTATCATTCAATCATTGTTCTCAGAAGAGGAATGCAATGCAACAAAAACTCATCAGATGCAACGCAACTCAGAGACAGCAGAGCTCCAATGTTTCTTCCGGCGGCCAAGTGTGTCCCCTCCCCGGCCAAACCTAAAAGCCATAGCGGCCGGCTGTGGCTATCAGCTGCTATTTACATGTGCCCTGTGCAAATCGGCCACTGTGGCACTGAATTGCAACGGATACGCTTGACTCTCGCAGAGCTTCGCAGCATCTCCTCTGACGGCACCGTCCTCGTAGTGGTGAGAAAGTCTTCCCTGGTTCTCTGGCAATGGCAAAGCCCTTTTGCGAAGCAGGCGATTTCGTCGCTGTGAATCCAAACTCAATCGCCAAAGCCACGGAGCATTGCCATACAACCACAGGGGTTTGGAGGAGTAGCCCCCATACCCGGACAAATGAACATGAACCCGCACAGCACCGACGGATGCCAAGGCATTCTTGATCTCTTCCTGGTCGAAGATGAAGCTACCCGCAGGGTTCTCCATGACGAAGTACATGCCTCGCACAAAAGACTACACCCGCAATGCACAGAAACTCTAAAAACAACAGCCCAATTCTAGAAATGTCGATTGATTTTTTAGAGGACCCATGCTCCCTATCTACCTTAATATCGCAGGCCTCTGGAGGCTGCGGCCAAAATTGCACGCGCACAGAAGCTTGCACATGCATCTCCATGGAGTGTCCACGCAGTGCACTTGCCCTGCATCCATTCTTTGCTTCTCCCGTGCGAGGCTCGAGAGATGAATCCTGTCCAGGACGCACAGGATGGCGCCAGCCACAGCAAGCTTCCAGGCACCATACGAGCGAGCATCCGGAGAAAGTGCAACACGCCTTCCTCGGACAAGAGGTCGAATTTGCAATGATTCTCCGAATCCAAGGAGTAGCACGGAATGGAAGCGGCAGTCAGCTGATCGCTGATCCGAGACTTATCAGGTCTAGCATAGCCATCGAAGACAGAGATTCCCCCAACTTGCTTAGACATGTCGGGCGGCATCTGCAGCAAGAGGAAATCGAAGACCTGTGCCCATAAAGCAGGCATCAGCGCAGCCCTGATCTCTGGCATGTCACGTCACCGCACGTGTCCCCGCAGAAGAAAACTTTCTGGCCACACTCAATGAGAAGGCTTTGGCAGGACAAGGCGGCGGCAATGTCACGGAAATGCAACGCTGAATCGACGATCGATATTTCTGTGATCAAGCTGACAATGTTGCTACTGAGACGTCCGGAATCGTTCTTTCATGGACTCACGCAGAACCCCGTTCACTTCAACCCCTTCACTCACTTCCTCTGTGAATCAGTGAAAAGAATGGCAGGCCAACCCGACCTGACCGGCTAAGCCACCGATGGCAAGGGCTTCTGAAAGTGCTTCACTGTGGTACGATAAGCACTCCTATCGCCATTGGATCGATTGAACCCTGAAAGCAGAATGATTCTAAGAAGCCGCCTAAGCAAGTTGTGGCAGATCAGGTCAGGATCACAAGCCTGACGAGGCCCCATCACGACTGACTGTCATCGCACGTTTCTGCCATGACTTTAGACATTAGAGAAAAGCACTCTCAGCGTGTCCGCTCAAGCACTGAAGCCGCCCCAACCGGCCGGAACTGCAGGAGCCTCTGCTTGCGGGACGATGGCGCCTGTCTGTGCCGGAGACGGAGAGCTTGAAGCTCTGGTTGATGGCGTGCTTGGAGACAGTGACACGGCATCGCTTGCCGAAGACGGAGAGGCTCCATCCGCGGCCCTCGGAATCATTTTGCGGTAGTAGAGCTCGCGTCCACTGAAAAGGCCGCTGCACAGCATCCACACTCCACCTAAGGTATAAGCATTGGAAGCCAGCATGGGGGGAAAGTACGGGCGGCTAGTATTCAAGGCCTGGATCAGTGATAGATAACCGGCAAAGTACTGCCATGGTGGGACTCTGTAGTGATTGACTAAGGCAGGTGCCCACTCCAACGGAGCAAGTATGAAACTTGCAGGCATCTTTGATGGTCAGCTCCTCCTGCAGGTGCTGCAGCTCCCTGGGCAAGGCCACCTGCTCCCCTGAGATGTGCTGGATCCTGGGCTTGCATGACCGATGCTTTAAAAAACGAATTCCAGTCCCTGAGCGGATGCTGAAACTGACGGAGTTACAGTACCCTTCAGACAGGGCACCGTAGCTCACCTGTCTCAGACTTCACCAGCTTGAACCACGGGTTGAGCTCCCAGAATTTCTCCAGTGCAAAGGGCTGCGGAATCTGGATGCGGTTGAGCCATCCTGGACGCTTCCCGTTGAGTTCCTCCTGGATCGCCCTCCTGCTCCGCGATGGAAGGGCGGAGTCGGGGGAGATGCCAGTGATCAAGCTGAACAGTTGCATGAGAACAGCCTTGCTAAGCTTCATGTCCCTGGCTGGCAGCTCCGGTAGAAGTCCCATGATGAGTTCTTTCAAAATCTTGCCATCTACCAACTTGTATTTGTTGCATGACCTCAGCGCTGCATTTGAGACAAGAGAGCGTGAAGAGGGGTGAATGAGTGGCCGCAAGCTCACTTCGAGACAGCTGGTTTATTGACGAGTGGCAACGAACCCACCTTGTCATCCATGGCATCAGCTGGCTCGCGTCCCTGGAGCATGCCACTTTGAATCATGTGCAACACTCTGGAGGCGAGAGCCGGACGTCCTTCGAGGCGACCTAGGACCTTGCCCTTGATAGCATCTGTGGTCGCGCTCTCCAGAGCACTCCGCAGCTTCTCAGTCTGCTGCACCTTCATCTGGGTCTTCTTTGTCATGCGGCGCGCCGGCTGCATAATGGAGGGCAGAAGTGAAGACAGATGCTCAGCAAGCACAACAAGCAGAGCCGGAGAGCTGCGAGTGTGACAGCCTGAGTTTGCGTACCCTGCGCAATGAATCAAGGAGCCAGAGCTTCTTGCTGCACAGAATAAACCGCGAAGCCAGCTTGGCACGACATCCACGTTCAAGGCACGAGATGAGATCAGTGCTCTCAGCATCCTGCCTGGCATTCCTGCTAGCTGCTAGGGCCTGGGCAGTGTCTGGACGATTGGGTTCTAGCTTCATTGAATGTGAACCAACACCTGGGTACATCTAGAATCTAGAATAATTATCCAAAGCTCTCTTTTCGCGAACAGACATGTCATCTAGAGCCGGGAAAAACTTATTATAGACAATCACTGGCATTGAGATGTGTGGTGTGGCGAATTGCTGCTGTCCTGGAACAAAAATCAACCCCAGCAACCATCCATAAGCACAGAATAATTGACGGCAAAGGACTCAGACGCAAGTACTAGAGTCCCCTGCAACATCTCCCAACAGAGCCATACTTCAAGGTCGCAAGATATAAACCTGGATAAGACGAAGTCTCGAACACCTCTTGCAACACTGCAATACTTTTATTCTCTTCTGCCCATTGCAGCACAGAGCCCAGTGCATCCCAGAAGTTATCATTCCGAACCGCCTTGTTTCCAAAGAAAGTCATAAGTCTCAGCAGAAATTTAATATCGTGAGACCAACTCACGGCAGGCCTTAACTGGTAGCAGAAGACTCCCCAATCCTGTCCATGGCCATGTCCTGCAGAGCAGCATAAATTAGTAAAGGCGGTGCGAAAAACAAAGTATTCATGGAATGTCAAAACAAAACTGAGGGCTGGCATGAAAATGCTAAACAATGACAGTGAGTGTGCAAGGCTGCATGGAAGAAGAACCTGAACGTCACTAGGCTTACGTGCAGAAGCCTAGAATCTGTCTCTCGAAAGAAGAACTGAGCCATCCTCGGCGATGACGAAGCTGGACATAGTCAGGCCTGGCCACCCGCACGACTATATCTGTTCGAAGGCATGTCCACTATTCCAACGGCAGTCCCTCGCACCCACACACACAGAGACACACAGTCGCTGAGTTGAAGAGTCACGCGGCTTTGGCAGCATGTTGCATGAACCGTCGTCTGAGAAACTGTCTTTGATGTTTTAAGTTTTGCAGCACAGGCAGCTTTCCACAAAAGTCTCATTTTCAAGCGCGCAGAATCCCCTGAACTTCCTGCACGTCTAGCAGCGGCATTTGAAAGTCAAGATTCATTCAGGCTCGTCCGACTCTGACATCCTAGATCACACCGGCAGGGGCTTCCAACAGTGCCTCTTCTAATTAAGTCAGGAGTCTGTCGAGGACCTCTTCCTATGTGTCGTTGTACTGCATCCACGATGACTTTTCAATTGTAACACACAGAAGAACTCACTCAGGACATCATCTGAGGAGCTGCCACTAAGAAGCCCCAGCAGCAAGTTGTGACAAGTCAGGTCGGGGTCGCAAGCCTGGGTTAGTTGGCCCCATGCCATCCATGGCCGAGTCAATGACGTGCTGTGACATGTCATTCCTAGCTACAGCCCTAGATGGTTTCATCCGCAATCCGCTTCCTCGCATGGCCGATCAAAGAAGCTCATTCAGGATCTCCTGTTCATCTGCACTGAAGCCGCCCCAGCCGGCCGGAAGTCCAGGAGCTGGCGGGACTGCCGGAGACGGAGACGAGCTTGAGGCTGCCGTTGTTGAGGTCGTGCTAGGAGACACGGCATCGCTTGCCGAAGACGGAGAGGCTCCATCGATGTCCCTGGGGATCATTTTGCGGTAGAAGAGATCGCGTCCGCTGAACAAGCCGCTGCACAGCATCCAGACTCCACCTAAGGACCGCAGCAAGCATGGCCGAAAAAACAGGGACGGTTTTTCATGGCAGGGGCCACTGACAACGCGCAGTCTGCGACACGCTAACTCATGTCATGTTCTGAAGTTCTACTGTGAGACTGAGACATGGTCGATGTAATTTCGATGCCAACTGAACTGTGACTCAGGCAGGTGCCCACTCCAACGGAGCAAGTATGAAACCTGCAGGCATCTTTGATGGTCAGCTCCTCCTGCAGGTGCTGCAGCTCCCTGGGCAAGGCAACCTGCTCCCCTGAGATGTGCTGGATCCTGGGCTTGCATGACCGATGCAAAAAACGAATTCCAGTCCCTGAGCGGATGCTGAAACTGACGGAGTTACAGTACCCTTCAGACAGGGCACCGTAGCTCACCTGTCTCAGACCTCACCAGCTTGAACCACGGGTTGAGCTCCCAAAACTTCTCCTTGGTGAATGGTGCCGGAATCTGGATGCGGTTGAGCCATCCTGGACGCTTCCCGTTGAGTTCCTCCTGGATCGTCCTCCTGCTCCGTGAAGGAAGGGCGGAGTCGGGGGAGATGGCACTGATCAAGGAAAAGATCTCCATGAGACTGCCCTTGCTCATCTTCAAGTCGCTGGCAGGAAGCCCCGGCATAAGGCCCGTCATGAGCTCCTTGAGAATCTTCGCATCGATCAGCTTGTATTTGTTGCAAGACCTGAGAAGTGTGACCGAAACTTGTCGGGGACAGAGAGTATAGCAAATTACAAGCCTGAAGCATTGGCTGGCCACGGCACATCTTTCAATCATTTCTAGGAACTACCTCACAGTATCGGCTGAGTGGCAACGAGCCCACGCTGTCATCCATGCGTTCAGTTGTCGAGGAAGCTGCGAGCATTCCATTCTGAAGCATGTGCAAAACCCTGGATGCGAGTATCGGATGTCCTTCGAGGCGTCCCAAAACCTTGCTCTTGATGGCGTCCGTGGTCACGGTTTCCAAGCTGCTTCGCAGCTTCTGGCACTGGGCCACCTTGTTCTGGTTCCTCTTAGTGCCGCGGCGACTGGGCTGCATGGCCGGAATAGGAAGTCAAGACAACCCCGTTATGATAAGGAAACAAAAGGACCAGAGCCGCAGAGCTGCAACTCTCAGCATGATTGACGCTGCCCCCGACTCAGCATACTGGGCAACCAAGCAAAAAAAGCAGTCATCAATGCCACTTCAGGCAGCAGTGCATTACTAGCAGACCAAATAAGTCACAACAGGACCGGTCTCAGCTTCCGGCATCCTAGACGCAGTCCGGTGTCAGGCCTTGTTCATGCCGCACGCTTGGGAATGCGAGGATTTCTAGTGTGTACGTCTTCCGACTTGGATTGTTTTCTTGCATTATTATTGAACTAATTCTGTCTGCTGTTTAAGCAACACTACTAATACG